ATGAATTTAAAAAAATCTGTCTTACAGATTTGTTACTTTTAGTCTAAGCTACAATTTTGTTAAAATAGATTTTTATTTTTATTATAAATTTAAAAAGTTATTAGAGCCTAAAGTTACTATGTAGATAAAAATTTAACATAAAAAAATTGTTTTTATAGATTTTCAACTAATTAAAATCTTGTTATACAAAAATAACCAATCAGATTTGAGTATAAATCTTTAAATTTGCACTTTTAAAAAAAATTAAATGTTTCTTGCTGTCTATTGCTATATAAATATTATATTAATTAAATCCAAGTATAGATATACAATTTAAAAGTTTTTTATAAAGTATATATTTAAAAAAATGCATTAAGGTGTGACAACTTAGAGTAGTGGTTAAGTTATTACCCCCCAAGTGGCAGGTCTAGAGTTCGAATCCCACTAGAGACATTTTTAGAAAAATAGGCCTGTGTACTGATAACAATTATTTAATGATTAGTTGGGTATATCACCTATAATCTTGGTATTACTATCTTGAAATAGAAGCTTTTGGGCAATCTAAATCCAAGAAACTAGAATAATTAAAACCTATTTGGCAAGACCCAAGTAAGGAGGTAGTAAAGATCTTCAATGATACTGCAAAAAAGTTAGAAACTGGAGACTGAAGAACCGAACAAAAACTCTGGAGCAAGAAAAGTCCACCAACCTGACTGCTAGAGTTGCACCAGAGAAAAAGATCCTATACTACAGAATTAGGAACTAAGAAAAGTAAAACTAGAAGACACTTAAAGCCTAAATACAATTACCTATCTGGGCTAACTAGTTTAGTAATTGGAGAAGGATCAGTATAAGGACTGGCTTGATGTAGATATCAGGATTGGAATGAACCTTGCAAGGGTACTAAATACTGGAATTGTGCAGTTTAATGGTTTACCCTGACTGCTAATGGTAGTTTCAGCTGCTGCAGAAGATATTTGTAGCCTAATTTAGAAGTACATAGGACATAGAAAGATTAGGGGTATATACTATACTCTCCCTAAGGCAATCTGATAGTATGAGAACCCTACTGGATTATTTATAAAATTAGGATACAAGTAGTATAGCAGATGTCAATCTGGGTGACCTTCAATAAGAAGCAACACAAGGTTATAAATTGGTGTAATTAAGGTAGTGTGCAGGATGAGAGACATTAGAGAGTTTAAGTAGATAATCTTCTAGTTAGGTTACAAGTATAATATATAGTATAGAACCTTTGGACGGACTACTTAAATTAGACAACCAAAAGTTGCACATGTGATTATATATACTCTTGTTAATCAAGAATATACTACTAAAATATCTAATAAAAATCCACCCTTTTGTGACATTGCGAAGGTATAAAAAAAAAAAAAAAGTGTTTAGAAGAGTCTAATTGTATTAAAAATATATAATTATATAAATGTATATTAATATATACTATTTAGCTAAAATATTAAAATACTTGTACAAATATTTTTAATTTTTATTAATTATTTAGTAGTTAAAGCTAAAATTGGCTGAAGCTAAAAATTTTATCTATTTTATTACAGATTTTATATACCTATTTCAAACACCTAAGCAAATATCTGAGTAATCAAATCCAAACATAATAACAATCAAATTCAAACATAGTAATAATTAAATTTAAACATAAAAACAATTAAATTTGAACATTTAACCAATCAAATTTAGACATTTAAATTACATAATTTTGATATTATTTGACTTATTTTGACAAAATAAATTAAATAATACCAAAATTATATAATTTGGACCACTATATTATGAGAGATTGCTGTTCAAATTTGATTGCTAAGATGTCCAAATTTGATTGCTAAGATGTCCAAATTTGATTGCTAAGATGTCCAAATTTGATTGCTAAAATGTCCAAATTTGATTGCTAGAATGTCCGAATTTGATTAGTTAAATGTTCAAATTTGATTGCTACTATGTTTGAATTTAATTGTTACTATGTTTGAATTTGATTGCTATTATGTTTGAATTTGGTTGCTCAGGTGTTCGAATTTGGGTTCGAAATTGGTATGCAAAACCTATATAAAAATTTAACAATTTTGGGGGTACATTTTTGACTTTTTTTTAGAGTTAGAAGTCAGCTTTATAGGTAGAATCAAGTATAAGTAGATATTAGTAGGTTTTATGGATCTAAATTGAAACCTCCAAATTTTCAGCTTCAGAATCATCCCAAACAATTATTATGAACGGTATAATATATACAGTATATAAAAAATTACTTTACAATATTTATTTAATAGAAGAAAATTACTGCGTCCTGTCAAAAAATTATAAATATACATGTTTGTGTAAAACCTAAGATCTTCATTCTGTGTAACCCGACTTGTGTAACTATACGTTTTTTCGGAAGAAGCTCTGAATGGAGCGATACTAGTTTTTCGAGAATCATTGACCATTGCCAACCTTACCTTACACTTATGCAGATATCGTGTGATCTTTAAAATGATCTGATTTATGTGATTTATGTGGTCTGATTTATGTGATCAACCAATCACAAGAAACTTAATGACTTGTTGAGTCATTGAGGTTTTGATCAAATGACATTTACAATCCCTGGTTCGGAGAGTTCTTTGTTCACTATATAGTCATCTGATATATTTTGTAAATACAAATCATTCCTTATATTTCATTTTTAGTTGTTAAATGAGTAATCGTAAAGAGTAAAAAAAAAATCCTTGATTCACCGAATGGTAAAAAACAAAAAAAATCCCTCAATTCCCAAATTCACCGAATGGTAAAAAAAAATCCCGATTCATGAAATTCATTCTTAATACGTACATACGTAGGTACTGTACGTAATGAAGTTTATTTATTTTGATTTTTTTATTTTTATTTTGATTTTGACATTTTCGAAAATTCGGGATAATATCTTCACGTTTTTCGTTTTTATAATTTCATTTGTAAATAAAATTTTAATAATTTCATTTGTTAAATAAATTTTGATAACTTCATTTGTAAATAAATTTTGATAAGAGTTTATACGTACGTACGTACGTACGTAAATGCAAATCCATACATGGATATCGATATCGATATCGATACGTACAGTACGTATAACAATAATGATAGATAAATCGATAAAATAGATAGCGATAGATTATTTCTTTATTATTAAAACAAAAAAGATTTATATTACATAAGGATTAAACTATATTAGGACCGATGTGAATGAAAAAGTTTTCAATAATAAAAATAAATAAACAAATATCGATATCTAAATACAATTTCATATCAATCAAAAAAAAAAATTACATAGCCTAAAATTACAAATCTTAAATAGAGTTTCTTTTTTTACAATTACTGTATGCAATACAATAATACTATATATATATATATAATAAGATGTACAATAGGATATACGTACAATAACGATAATACACCACAAACCTACGAATTTGATTAGATATATATACGAATTTGATTGAGTAATATATGAACTTGATTGATTAATATATGAATTTGATTAAGTAATATATGAATTTGGTTGACAAAACTAACATTAGAATGTTCAAGTTGAATAATTTCCTTTTGATTATTTTTAACTTCTTGTTGAGCTAATAATTGAGCTTGTACATCCAAAAGACCACGATCTTGCATTTTATTTTCCAAAATTTTCTTTGTTTGTGAAAGTTGTTCACATTTTCCAACAATTTCTTCAAGTTCATTATTTAATTCTTTAACTTCATCTTCAAGATCTAACTCTCTTTGACGTGTTTGTTTTAAAATTTCTTCTTTATCAATGACTAAGGAACGTTCATTTTGTAATTCTTCTTCAAGATTGGATTTTTCAGTTTCAAGTTGAGAATTTAAAGATTCCAATTTTTTCCTAGCTTCAGATTCTTGAAGTAATTTTTCTTCTAATTCACGTATTTTATCATCTCTAAATCGAATTTGTCGTTGTAATTCTTCAACTTTAGTACAATTTAAGGTTGGTCTGATCTTTAAAAAAAGTTTCCACCAAGGGTTTGCTTTTAATGAATTAAGTGCTCTAATATTTTTTTGAATAATAAGAGCAGCACGAAGTCTTTCGTTACGTTTTGCATGATCTTTTCGAGCAAGCCAACCTCTACAGTGAGCTTGAAAATCGGCGAATAATTGAAAAAGTTTGGTATCTCGAATTTCTTCTAATTCTGCTAACTGTATAAGAAAATGAATAAATGAATGAAACAAAATAAATATATGAAATGAAATAAAAAATAAATGAAATAAAATGAAATGAAATAAAATGAAATAAAATAATAAATGAAATGAAATGAAATAAAATAATAAATGAAATGAAATGAAATAATATAATAAATGAAATGAAATGAAATAATATAATAAATGAAATGAAATGAAATAATAAATGAAATGAAATGAAATAAAGTCATAATAATGATAATGTATTTTATACATTGCATGATATTGCATGATATTGCATGAGATAACACGAGAAAAATTTATTTTTAATAAGAAAATTATAAACATACCACACCAGCACGAAAGAAAATTTTACTTGAACCTAAACGATATTGAGAAGGATCCAATTTAAAAGCATCCAAAAGTTTTTCAGCGGCAAGTTTATTATCGATGAAACCTTTAGGAATAATTCCGGAAGATAAGATTTCATATCTACGACGAAATTCATTAAAGGATAAACGATTTGGGAAACCAGCACGACAAATACGAATTCCTTCTAGAACACCATTACAACGTAATTGATCCAGAACCAAAGGAACATGAATTTTTCCGGGAGACTTTTCTTCATTAGGAACAATACAACGTACAAAATGAGGATGAGTTGAATAAAGTTGTTTCATTAAAGAATGTAATTGTTCTTTATGATGACGACCAACAGTTCTGAAAACACCACGTTTAACTCTATTCTTTTTATCATTATCAGTTATATCACCAAGATAATCGGAAAAAAGGGAAGCGATATATTGATTAGAAGATCGAGCCAATAATTTTGTAATATTTTCATTAAGAGGATCTTTATTTTTATCAAGCCATCCAGAAGTTCTGTATTCTACTTTGGCGGCATAATGTTGTAGAATGAAACCTTGTTGAAAACGAGGAACTTGATATTTTGGAGATTTATCTTTCCAAAGACTATGTAATTTCTCGACGAAAGTTTTATCAGTAGCTTTAGGCATTACACACTCTTCATCAAGACAAGATAGAATACCGACAGGCTAAACAGATATTAAAATTAATAACATTAATTAATAACATTAACGTTAATTAATAACATTAATTAATTAATAACATTAACGTTAATTAATAACATTAACGTTAATTAATAACATTAACGTTAATTAATAACATTAACGTTAATACATTAATTAATAACATTAACGTTAATTGATAACATTAATTAATGGAATAACACAAAGATAGCAAGAACATACATTGGCTTTATCTATTAAATCAATTGTTGGCTGTAAATCCAAGCCAAAATCGATGAATTTCCATTCAATACCTTCGAGCTTATATTCTTCTTGCTCCAAAACAAACATATGATGATTAAAGAATTGTTGGAGTTTTTCATTTGTATAATTTATGCATAATTGTTCAAAGCTATTAACCTTTTAAAAATGAATGAAGAAAATCAATATGAAATTATATAAAGAAAATTATAAAAGTATATAAAAAGATTTACTTGGAAAATTTCAAATCCAGCAATATCCAAAACACCAATGAAATGGGATTTATTATTAGGTCTGTATATAGCTTTATTTATTCGATCAACTAAAGCAAAAAAACTTCGTTCATATAATGATTTTGCAAGAGCTTCAATAGAATAAAGAACTTGTTCCTTGGTTCTTGCTTGAGTAACCCATTCTCTACCAGCTTTGACTTGAGGATTAAGAAGGCCTTTTGTAAATTCCGTAATAGGTATACCCAATAAATTACAAACATTTTCAGAAATAGTAGATTCATAAATTTGAGCTTGATCGTTTCTACTTGAAGCTACTTCGATATTTCCAAGATGCAAAACCGCAGCAACCACACGAAATAGATCAATTTGTTCATTTTCTGAAATACCAACCACATTCATAGCATCCTATATTTAATTAATTTTAATTAATTTTAATTAATTTTAATCAATTTTAATCAATTTTAATTAATTTTAATTAATTTTAATTAATTTTAAGTAAGTTAATCAATTTAATCAATGTTAATTAATATTAATTATTAAAATTAATATTAATTATTGTTAATTAATATTAATTATTGTTAATTAATATTAATTACTGTTAATAATCGAAAGAAAAATACTTTTAGATAAAGCAATATCGCTACTTACGACAAGAGTCTGGTATTCTGTAGAATCATCGATACCTTCAATGTCTTTTAATGAATTTTTAGTGAATCTATAATCATTTAAAGATCCATCCAGAAGCAATTCACCTTTATAAAATGTAAAAAAAAGGTTACTAATTATTATATTTATTGTAAATAAAGAGAAAGAATATTAAGAAACGCACTTTTTATTTGAGGTGAAGCACCTCTTAACAGTTGATAAAAGATGTGAAAATTACGTTCTTCTGGTGTTTGATAAGTTACACGAGACTTTTCAAACAGATAACGTTCGATATTAGCACCCACGATTTGACCAGATGAATTAAATTCAATACGAATAAATTTTCCCTTATAAAATTGAATAAAGTTTTAGTAACAACAACAATAATAATCATAATAATAGTAATAATAATAAGATTAAAGAAAAAACTCACAAATCGCGAAGAATTATTATTCCGAATGGTTAATGCATTTCCAAAAGCTTCAAGTATAGGATTTGTTTGAAGGATTTGTGATTCGAGTTTACCAAGTATTTTCGTGTTAGAACTATCACCAGCGATCGCGGCGATATATTGTATGACCCGTTTAGTATTTTCAGTTTTTCCAGCACCGGATTCGCCACTAAATAATAATAAACATTTGTTTAGTAAAAATAAAATATTAATACATGATACATAATACATGTCATATACGAGAGAATATTTACGTAATTAATATGGATTGATTTTCGCGTTCTTGTAACATTTCATGATACGCGGAATCCGCGATTGCATATATGTGAGGAGGCATTTCATGATGCCGCTTGTTCTTGTAATATCGAATTATTTCATTGGTGTAAATCGGAAAATTTTGATAAGGATTAACGGCGACCAAAAAGAGACCGGAGTACGTCTATAACATAATTTTACATAATTTACAAATAATTTATATATAATTTACGTATGATTTATATATAATTTATATATAATATAATATATATATAATTTATAAAATAATTTACGTAATTTAAGTAATAATTTATATAATTTACATATTAATACGATTGAGTTAACTTTATGTGAAGATAGCTTTATACGTTACTTACATATATCAAGTTAGAAAGATATCTTAGTCGAAGATTATGAACAACCGAAGCCTCATTTAGATATGTTAGATCAGCCATATCTTCCACCTTATCAAATTTAGGTGGATTCATTTTATCAGTTTCACTAACATTAACTATTCGTATCTTTAGACAGAAACAAGATCATATTGTTTTAAACAATTAGATAATTTAAATCTATATTCAAAATATAAAACATAATCAAAATAAAGAGGAATTGAATAACAAATTTACCGAATCATCATTCAAGTGGACTTCCACTTGTTCTCCCATATCCTTAGTTATGTAACCTGCGACATAACCCGCTTTTTTATCCTCGACCCAGATCCACTTTTTTTCATTAAAAGTAGCCTGGGCAACGGTATTATTAACATCGGCATCACTGGAACCATTAACGAGAAGTCGAAGAGCTTCTCCACCAGGTGAATGAATCAAAGAATTTTTTCTGGTATTTTTGATCGTTATCATCGTTATATGAGGTTAGAAACGGATAGTCGTAGTATACACAACTTAAGGAATTTAATTGGGAGAAAAGAAATAAAGAGAACATACGAAGCAAATGACACTATATTTATTATAATTATTTGGAAAAGGGGTACGTATCGTCAAATTTGACTAGATTGGTATATTAACTATCTTACAAACTCGGTGTTAGATCATGCAGTCAGGGACCTCAGTTGAATGGATCGGTAGTAACGTTCACAAACCTATCGAACAAAGCTTATTATTCATTTCAATAACCAAAATTTGGGAACGTATATTTTTTTATAATACCAGTATCAGTAATTTCACGGCATTAGTATCACATGATTAAAGGATCTCAATCGATTTTTGGACTTGTGTAATTAAAGTTTGTCTATATAATAAATTTCTCATGGATAAAATTAGAGTAGCGTAGCGAAATTCTTAATTACGTAACGTTACGAAAATACAAGTGAATTAAATCCCTGAAAAATCTACGTAAATGGCTCCTTGTACCATATCATTTGACCATTTATTTCAATGATTGTTACATTACTATTTATAGAATTCTCCGTTTATGCATTCTATTGCGGATGTTAAAAATTCTTTAGTTTATCCAAGAAATACGTAATGTGTGATTCGATTTAAGATATTTTTGCTTGTATGTTTGTAGGGGTTTGTTTCGAAATAGTAATGATTGTCACGGTGATACCAGAAAAGGTTACCTTAGCATATAGTATAAATTCATGGTTTTTATCGATCGTTATTCCTTTAATATCATCATAATGCATTATGTGAATTTCCGATACATCAACAAATAATTGAAATTGTAAATTAGAAGACATTAACAATATCATTAATATCTTTCGATAATGATTATCAGCTAAAAAGATTTAGAAAGATATAGTGCTGTAGTATATGAGACGAAAGAATCATTACGTATTGTTTTTCTTAATGCACAATATGATAAAAAAAAAAAAATTAAAACAGTTTGTGAACCATATTAAATGTGTGTACTACCGATATTTTTATTTTCAAATGTAACCTGTATACCAATTCATTGTTTTCAAGTACTTAACGTTAATTATAGACTTGTTTAAGAATGGAAATCACCTAAGTACGGATGTATTAATATCGTATTTGGCAAATCTTCGAATCAACCTTATGAATAATTCTCCAGCGAATAACGTGAATAAATAAATCTTATTTATGTGAAATCCCTAGTTACAGTATTTGCTGCTTCGCATTTAGCTATTCGTTTATTCGGAGAATATTGTCATTCAACGAAGATTCGAACGGATATATAAGGTAGATTAGTCATGTCACAAAAAATTGGCAGTGACATGATATACAAGCCACTCAGACAGTTATTACTTATAATTCGGGATCGTAAGAACTTTTTTAGATCTCGAATAATAATACGTATTAATATCCTGAATATATTATAGTTATTATATAGGTATATTGAATAACCCAGTTACACACACGGATTCATAATTAAATCCGTGGCCGAAATTCATAGAAAAACTTTTATATGATTGGCTATTTAAATAAATTTAATTTTATATTATTTTATACAGTTTAAAGCACTTTTTACAAAATTAAACTACAAAGAATAAATAAAAAATATTTAAGTTTATATAGAAAGTTTTATTAGGGTCGTAGGACTCCACTATTAAAATACTCTTAAACATCAATTTCTATACATTTCTTTTCTGACGTGATTTATATAATTGAATGTCAAATGCAAACGGATTTTTGCCAAAGTTTGCTTCAACTATCTGACCAGGAAATCGTAAACCTACCATAGGATAAAATCTGCATAAGGGAATATTTTTGAAAGCAATACCTAAAAAATTTTATTATTTTATTAATAAGGTTGACTACATAATCAATAATTATATTATTATATTTGATTTAATAACCTAAGTTTATTCCATTTTTTGTAAAAAAAACTGTTCGCGTATTATAATCAATACAGCAGCCTATTACGTCCCCCTTTCCGTAAGTTGTTGAGTATGGTGTACCATAAAATTGTGCATGGAATATATTTCCATCATCACCATGATATCCATAAGATCCTGGAAACCATCCTATACATTTTTACTGAAAAGATTACTAAAGTTTATGTTATTAATTGTGGCAACTGAAGCTGAGAACGGTTGAAGCTGGAGTTTTGAAATATTTTAATATCAAATTTTAAAAATTAAAAGAGTACAGGTGAATTTTAGTAGGTATTTATTATAGATTTAAATAGAGACCCCCAATCTCAGCTTCAGCCGCCACATTAATTATAAATTAAAAAAATCTCTTTTTTATGAAATGAACTACCTGGTAGTTGTCTTACTGATGTTCTTGCCGTCCCAAATCCAACTCCTATCTTTCTAAAAGAAAGAATAACGGTAAAAATTATGTGAATTAGGGTTGTGAATGGAGTTCTCCAAACTATAACTAAACATATAAACAACTAGTTTAAAACTGGCGTTGTTTATATTTATTATAGTTTAAAGTACACCATTAGCATCCCTAAATGAATAAACATAATTATACCCTTCAAAACCATTATCACATCCATCTTCTATGATATAAATTTCAAAATATCCTACGCCCATTGTAGATCGAAATGAGCTATTAGTAATTAATGTTGCTGCATCATCATCGTTTTGACCAGGTCCTATAATAATTCGAAAATGGTATCATTCAAACTATCTTCATTCACACTTTCTTAAATAATTGAAATTTATTAATACCGTTATACATTATTTTTAGATTGTCGTCATAAATTGTTAATTGTCTTGACGTTTTACTTCTACTCCATCTTGTTGGTACGTCAAATTCATAATCGTTACTTGGTGAATACATTTTAAGAAAATTTAAAGGTTGCTGATCAAATTTATGCGTTAAACACAGTAACGGTAACAGTAACAGTAACGAAGCAAAGCATATGGTCACATGAAACTGGCTATCCCGGTGTGGGTTTACATATTTATTTGCGCTGGTATCACAAACTCGAAAAGGAAATCTAGCATAAAAATAGGTGAAAATAAAATCAAGTAGGTGAAAATAAAATCAAGTACGTAGGTGAAAATAAAATCAAGTAGGTGAAAATAAAATCAAGTAGGTGAAAATATAAGTTTAAAGTTAGGGTGCTAATGTTGGGAAAATAGAATAGATTATTATAGATTGTTATTTACTATATGTAAAATTTAGCTCCCAACATTTTTAATTAGTGCAGCAAGATCGACTTAAGCATTAGTTTTCGAGTATTGTCCCTTTTTTTTTTTTTATTATGCACGTGTTCGTATTTTATGTAGTCTTTTAGGAACTTATACATTACCAGACAGCAACAAAGATCCAATATATATACATATATTTTTTTATATAAAAAGTGCTACGTATAACTCAAACAATTTAAGCACTAATTCATGTAAGAACGGCAGCGTCATTATTATAGTATTTTTATAGTGAAATTTGGGACATAAAATTTATTATTGACAATCCCTCAAAGTAAAGTTTTTTTTGTTTATTAAGTTAACCTTTTTCAGTTTCTAATAAAAGTTGTATAACTGGTTTTTGTGATTCTAATGAGAATAAGATTAATAAAATTAGTTTAGTAGTTCTTGAGAAATTTTAATTTTTCTTTTTGTAAATCATATAAAATTTCTTACAATTTTGTAAAAAATTGTCATCGGCGGATTTGCGAAATTGAGTTTACATGGGGTTGTAAATTTTAATGACTAAAAAAAATATTTTTTTATTTAATGTAAGGTTTTTATTATGCGTATGTACATAAAAATAATTTAAGACAAACCTTTTGTATCGTTATGGTTAATTGCTCCTTAAATTATTTTTATATATACCCATGTAAATTCCGGATATGTGAAGAAATTTTATATGATTGCAAAGAGAAAAGTTAAGATATCTCAAGAACTACTAAGCCAACTTTATTGATCTTACTATTATTAGAATCACAAAAACTAGCTCTACAACTTTTTATTAGAAACAAAAAGAAGGTTAACTTAGTAAAAAAAAATCTTTACTTTGAGCGATTACCAGATTTGATTCAATAATAAATTTTATATATATTAAATTTGTCCCAAATTTTATTATAAAATCTTGCCGTTCTTACACGAATTAGCTCTTAATCAAAAATTTTTTGTTGTATTTTTGTTTATAAACGTATATGAGTGCGTGAGAGTGAAAACCAGTAACCAATCATAGCAATTATTAGATCTATTTCTAAGCTTTCTCTTTCACGCACTCATATTAAATTTTTGTTAAAATAGATTCTTATAATTTAAAAAAAAACATTTTAGCTTAAGTCAATACGTGTTTGAAAATTAACATATAATATATAAAAAATTATAATATTTTATTAACTAATTAAAAATAAAATTAATTAATATATGGATCAAGGTTATTTTCAAAAAATAAACGAGTGAAGTTTTACATTTATCTCCTAACCAAATTAAGAAATTTTTCATATTTTATATATAGCGATAGGAGGTGTCAATTCATTTGACTAATAAGCATGTAATTCTATTATACATATCGGCCAACTGTTATATAATTTTTTTTTGGATTGATCAATTACATATAATTAGCGCCAAATTTAATCTGTCCAATTTTTGTAAATATCCTGAGATTTTTCGATCTATATCTGATCTGACTTGGCAGATACAGATTTTAACTTAATAATATAAAATTCATTGTTTATGATGCTTCTTCGTCGGCTGTAGAGACGAAATATTTAAATAGATAAATTATTATAATTATCGATATAGATAAAAAAATTAAAATTATTAAATACGCACGTGAAATATCATCAGAAACCGAAAATTCACATTTTTTAGAACCTAAGCAAAAACAAATGGTAGTTAAAACTTTTGTCGATCAATTAAGAACCAGATATAATAAGTGCAATTGTTCACCATAAATTTTTTAACAATTCTTCATTAATTGGCAAAGAAAGATTTTTAAAGTTAAGTAGTTTACTTGTAAGTTTA